ACAGTACTTGAACAAAGGAAAAGTCCACCGAAATTATGGATGTAAAAAAAAAGTGAGCGGTTTTTAGTATTTTCTCAAGGCTGTGCTGGGGCACAGAGCCATTAACAGCTGCTTCTCCATGCACATACTGTTCCTTCAGCACTTAAAGCTCATGAAGCTCAGAGGATTTTCCTAATATCAGATCGAGAAAGGAGTCATTTCATTTAACTAGAAAAATCTGTGAGTAGGAAGCTAGTCAAATAGCCTTCTAAATTGCTTTCGCCCCACAAAACTACAGTAATGGCATAGACATTACTTAACAATTAAAAATGCTTAATGACTGCAGAGATCTATGTATAAATTCAGTACACATTAAAAAAAATTAAACATGTCTATGTTAAATTGGGGGGGAATCAGATTTTACTTGAACTTCATATTTAGTTTAGCAAAATCATGCAATCTTTGGAAAATACTGTCTTTAAGCAATGTTCCAGGTGATGCTGCAAGTGATAGGAAAACACTACCTCAGCTTCTATTTTTGTAAAGGCCTAAAAATTAATCAGTATCCAGTTAACAAAGGAATGCTTGGTTTTGCCATTCAAATGACATACGTAAAATATTTTAATCAAAAAAAACCCCAACAAAATAAATCTAATTCAGTTCTTTAGCAGAATGATGCACAGTCCATCCATAAAACACCCTCAAGAAAGAAAGACGTAATGGGGCAAGGATGAAGAAAAAGGCTTAAACTTATCCTTTTGGTGACAGTGACAATAAAACTGAAAGATCTGCAAATCAGCTGATCCTGGGGGATGGCTGGGGAGGCCACTGCCACCTTCATTGACATTCTTCCCCCACAGCAATGTTGGCCTCCTGAACCTCTGGCACTGCTCCTTGGCAAAGTCAGCTCCAGGACCACCGTGTCCTGGTGCTGCAACTGAGTTTAGGAGCTGTTAAAGGGGTATTCCCACCACCAGCAGCGGCCTGGATTAAGAGATATAGATCCTCAGCAGTCAAGCAGCAGCATTAAAAACAAAACAAAACAACAACAACAAAAAAACCAACCCAAAACCCACAAACCAAACCCCAATACATGAACTTGCTCGGCTACAACTGTTATATGGAAAGATGAAATAGTTTCACATTGAGAACCAACTGTGAGATAGTATTAAATCTGATGCATTTCCCATCAAATCTATACCCTGTTGCAACAATTATTTTTCCTTTACAGTGAAACTTAATTTGTCATACAAAAGATGAAACAGCTAATGAAACAGCTAATCATTACATCCATACAGCTCAACGGCTGATAATGACCAGTTAAGTTATTTCACCAAAAAAAGACATTACTAGTTTTGCTGAGTGTAAAGAGTATGATTATGGATATTCAGTTGTCAGACACTAATGAATTAAAAATATTATTAAAACAATATAAATGCTATTTTTAAAAGGTCTTCATAAACTGTATCTCCGAAAGGTGGCTCAACAAAACAAACCACTTCAATCTTTTCAGCAGAGGAAGCACAAAGATTCTGCACAAAAATAAACCTAACATGATATCTCATGTTTTACCAAGTACAATTACAAAATGGATTCTTAAACAGAAATAGGGAAAAAAAAAATCTTACTATAAAACAATAAGTAAACTTTTAAAAGCATTGTGTTTTTCATTACTACTGTTTTTCCTTCCTTTTAAAGAACAGTGTTTTAAGGAGAAATTCACTTAGCCATTCCAAAAAATAAGGAAACACATAAAAATTGGTGAAGAAAACATTACTTTTCTGGTAGCCCTTTTGCTGCTGTTACAAAGGGTTTATTTTTCACTTCTCCTTAGGCTGAAGACATGAGGTTCCAAAAATGGTAAGGCAATCGACCTTGACATAGCCCCTGTTACACTACAAGCATAAGTATTCAAGAGAAATGTAATGGCACAACATAATCTACCTCCACAAAGATTTATATATATATATATTTGTTTTGCTTACCTTTTAGACATATCTCTTAATTTTAACCTTTTAATTTAATATTTTATTTTACATATGTTTTCTGCTTATGACTACTACTTTATTTTTTTTAGCTTTTTTTTTTTAAAAGGATGCTAAAGTTTTAGCAACTCTCTTAATGTATCTGGATAAGGAGATATTTCATTTTTACCTATATTATCAACACTGATTTTATCAGGTCAATTTCTCTGGTCAGTGTCTGATCATCTATTTACTAGGCTTTTCATAAATGATAAAGATCTTTAGGCACATGAAAGCAGGATATATATTTCAGATGCCAGCCTTAAAAGCCCCATTCTTTAATCAGATTTTCATACAAGAACACGAGACTTTATATAATGACAGAATGAAAATCAAAAGTGACAGACCGGGTGAGTGGAATTCCTATTGGACTTTTTTTTGTTCATCAAAACGTCCAGCCTTATAATATTGGAAAAGAATTTAGCACCAGCTGGAATCTTCAGACAGCATTAGTAGAACAGTAACAAACCTCCCTCTAATAAAATTTTAAATCATGAGTTCAGAATACACTTTCAAAAAAATGAAACAAACTTACTAAATTTAAAAATTCATATGCCTGACCATCCCGTCAAAACCTGTCATCATGGAAACAGCACAAAGAAACACAGTATTTAACTCTGCTGAGGATGTTTAATTTGACAGATTCCAGGAGACTGAGATTTAGAGATTGAAGTGTGACTTTACAGCAACTGCAATTCAGGGTCCAGATAGGCAAATTAGCATTCTTGCTCCAATAACATTAAGCCAACGTTTAAGAAACAAACCCTCCCACCCCCAAAAAAAGGACAAAGAGCTTAGGAACCTACGATTTGTTTGCAGGATACTGGATTTCTACCACATTCTCTCCCTCCAAGGACAGCCTGAGGAAAAAGGAAATCTTCGGTCCCAGCTGACAACTCCACAAGCGCAACACAAGGGTAGAGAGAAAAGTATTGCTAATTCTGCCCTTTAGGGCAAGAAGCTGGTGGGCTGCTGAGTAAACCTTCTGAAGTGAAGCTCCCTTTCTGACCTACCATTTGCTGGCAATAAAGCTTCAGGTCGCTGCACGCCAGCTCCGTTCAGGTGAGGTTATACAAGCAGGGTTCAACTAAGGCACTACCAAGATAGAAATGAGTTAGGCTTGTGTATTTCTACATATTTGTGGTTACAGCACCACACTAACAATACACCCACTGCCTCCAAGCTGCGTTGCTTGATTTTGATAAAAGGTTAGTTCGAATTCAAGCATTTTCTAGAACTTTTCTTGAATTTCAGGATGTCCCATAGAAACTTATTACCAGGAACACCAATGAAAAACAGAAGCAGTAAGCGGCCAGCTCCGGAGCACAGATATAAAACTACTTTATTGGTATGAAACCAGCCCCACGAGTTGGGAGAAATGAGATATTTCATTGTTCCTTGTCTAAGCCTAGCACGCCGAGGACCTACTAAGCAGGAAACAATGACAAAATAATGACAAAACGAAATGAATCCAAGCTTGTTTGTAAGAAGAGATGGGGTTACACAACCTTATAGAGCAGCAGTCAGCCAAAAAGAGCCTTCTGAAATAAACAGCAACTTTTCAAAAGAAGGCAGCAGACACATTCCTGTAGAAATGGAGCGTTATGAGATACGTGCAAAGAATACTACTCATTTTTCCATAATATCTGTCAGGGCTAATTGCCAGCAACAGCTCAGCTTAGCTAGAGGAATGTTTCAAGTCATATTTCAATATGCTTTAAAGATTGTGCAATGCTGGAAGCCAGTATATAAACTTTTAAGACAGCAAATAAGCAACTTTGGAGGTCCATGGTTTAAATCATTCACTCTTGAGTCCTAACCCCAAAAAAAAAAACTTTCACAGAGAACGGAACGTAACATCAGGGAACTAAAGCCAAGGCTGGTTTTGATATACATAATACTACTTTATTCCATTGTTTCAACTTTCTTACAGGTTTAAAAAAACGTACAGGGGTTCAGAACCACCTCAAAAGAACAAAGAATACATAATTAAGGGAGATCTAGAGTCAAACCACAAGTGTGCAAGCGTGGTTAGCTTCCATTACAAAAAGTAATAGGCACGATCTTTACATATGCATTTTGGTGAAAGAAGGAATAATAGTGCAGTGTTAAAAGGCACCAATAATCAATAATTGGGCCTTTTTTAAAAGCCAATAACCATCTAAGAAAATTACATTTGGTTCAAAATAATAATTTAAATATTGTATTGACTGGCATGCATCTGAACCCCTGGCAATTTATTACACAAACCTAATGTGCGCCCTTGCAAAATAAAAAAGGTTTCATCAGTGGACCTGAAAATCAGTTCAGTACAAAAGGAAATACTGAAGCTCTTTGCCTGTATTTAATACTAAACTGTCTCGTTCACCTCCTCCAAGAACACTTGTCTAACAAACAGCTATTCAACAACTGCACAGAAGTATTTCTCTTAAAGCAAGTGTAATTTTTTTAATCCTGTAGCACTGACCTATTCCATGTGCTATGAAAACATTAGGCACAGACCACAATTTACATTTTCTCTAAAAAAAATACAGTATGTGCAAGCTAGGTTCACAGAACGGATTGACAGCTACAACAATAAGCTATTTAGACTTTCCAGAGAAAAGGGTTAGTTGGTTTTAGTTTTCTAAGCAGTGATGCACACTGCTGTGTGCAATTATCATATTTGTGTTAGGATTATCTGTGTAGCCAATAAAGGAAAAGCTTTAGTACACCCTAAAGGACACTACATCGATAGTGTGTGCTAATTTAACAGGATCAAGAGAATGAAAGATTGAAGAAGTCATTGTACATGGGCAGCTGCAGTTACTCAGCCAGCCAGGAAGAGCTATTGTTTTCTGCAGGAAGAATGGTTTGAAACTCAGTTTACCTCGTAGATGCCCTCAAACTAAACCACTTGGACATGATGGGATCTGGGGATGCACAGTATGGGGAAAAAAAACAAAAAAAAGAAAATTAAAAAAAAAAGGGAAATGAGCTTCCCTGACAGTTTCGTAGATGCCCTCAAACCACTTGGACATGATGGAATCTGGGGATGCACAGTATGGGGGAAAAAAAAAAAAAAAAGAAAATTAAAATAAAAAAAAGGGAAATGAGCTTCCCTGACAGTTGTACCAAAATGTGCCATTTTATCCAAAAGCGTCATGCCCAGTGTAGGTTTTATGATTGCGGACTGTTTGTACAACTGAAAATTGTACAAGATGTGAGCAGAAATAGAGCTGATTATTAATCTGCAATATCTACTATAGTCCTCAGGTACATAATTTACGGACAGCCATTTACTGTGTTGTTGATTGTTTCCTCTTAAATATATTTAAATTCAGAAGGCTACAGTATATTCTGACACAAAGATAGTAAGACAACTTTTCTACAAGGGGGAAAATGTAAGGTAGTAACTAACTAATGTATTTTATGAGGAACCTCCTCTGATGTGGTAGTTGTTTCATGCCCTTTGGAAGATTTTTAGTTCTGACTTTCTTCATCATCTCCGTCGAATTGCTCTCCTCACAATTTCACAAGAGCTATATTCAAGTTCAGCGACCCCTCTTACAGCAGCCTTTTCCTTTATCCACAAATCACTTTTAAAACTCACTCTAACATCATAGCAAACTATTCAAGTAAACATTTCTCTTCTGGCAAGTTTCCAGATACAGCAAATATTTATCAAAACTCCACATTTGATTACATGCGCCCGCTTTCTTTAAATGGAGCAGGAATTAGCCCGTTTTCTTGGTTTAGGGTCCCGTACATCCCTGTCTTTTAAACACATACAAGATGAACATATTGTCTCTGACAGTCTCCGCAGTCCCAGCCTGAAAACGCTGTTGGAGAGGCTATATATCACACAGTTGCAGAAACTATTGCTTATAGCAAGCCATGTCGTTAAGAAGGAAAGCGCTGGGTTTTCCAACACCCTAGAGCTCTCCAGCAGAAAGTATATGATATAAGGGAGCCACAGCATGTAGAACACACTGGTTATCCGAAACAAAACCATGGCATAGCGGCGATCGGGGCTGTGCCCAGTCTCCCCAGCAGCATCCACTTCATGGCTAGGAAATCGAGCTCTCCGATCGTTTATCTCTTTGGTGTGCTGCCGGCAAATTTTAAAGATGTGGAAATAGGTGAAACATATGACAAAGGCAGCAGGAGCGTATAGTAAGCACACGATAAAGCCAGTAAAGTAGGCATTAGTTAGCCAGGAGGTAGCACACCATTCAAAAATATCTCCATGGTAACCAGGTTTTCCCCAACCAAAAAAGGAAGGCAAGAAGATCAGACAAGAGTATATCCAGATCAAAATGATGCAGATTCTCAAGCGACAAGGTGTGACCAGTTGATTATAGGAGAGAGGCTTTGTTATAGCGAGATAGCGATCCACACTGATGCAAGCAAGACATGCCATAGATACGCTTTTGAGCACAGAGATGATATATCCAAAAACTTGACAAGTCAAGGACTCGTGGACACCTGTCGAGTAGTGGAGCAGTGACAAAGTAGGAACCAAGCAGCTAACTCCAACAAAAAGATCAGCATAGGCCATGGTCTGAATAAAATAGCTGGTGGTATAATGATGCAGAAGTGGAGCACAGTGAAAAACAAATATCACAGTTAAGTTACCCGCAATAATTAAAAATGTTAGCAAGACAATAACAACTGTCTCAAGGATACAGATGTCAACTGCATTGTAGTGACCAAATCCAAGAGGGCAGGAGAGGTGCTCAGATCTGTTCATAACACTACTGCTCATATTCAGAGTCCTCCATTCAATCCATCGGGACTGGTTCATGTTTTGTGATTAGGGAACACTGCAATCTGAGCCTTAGCGAGCAGATGACCTGCTTAACAGCAGCTAAACTCTGCTTCAGCGTCTCACGAGCTCTCTTTGTAGACACTGCCAGTGCTTACATTTGAGAGGATTACAGTCCCATAGCTGTTGATGCCTCCTCAGCATCAGTGCATCACCTCTGGCACACCTTAGCTTTAAGGAAAGAAAGAAATAAAGAAAGAAAAAGAAAAGAAAGAAAGAAAGAAAGAAAGAAAGAAAAAAAAAAAAAGCCAGAAAGAGAAAGGCCACTGATCAGCTCCTCCAGTGCTCTTGACCGATCTTTAGCAAACACAAGGCACTTCTAAAACAAACAGGTACTGTGAAATATGGAAATAAAAACTGACAAAAGAAAGACACATTCATTATGCAGGGAAGGAGGGGGGGAATCTCTGACTGCTTATTTTCCTGAGAAAGTCATTTACTTTGGAATATAACGGGTTGAGGGAGGGAAGGAGGAACCTCAGTACAGCTCAGGTTTCCTGGACCAGCAGTTATTGGAGACAATCTTTTTAATGTCTCAATTTAAATCACAGACTGACTGGAGAGTAAAGGAAAAAGTTCATCATCTAATGCTGTCTTTTCTGGCTCCACTCAGGAGACGGTACTCCATCATATCCATGCTATTCATTGGAAAGGTAAGGAAAACATTTTTGTCAAGGTTAATTCCAATAGACTCACCACTGTTTGGGTATGAATAATGAATTTTATTTGGAGGGTGTCAGGTGGGGGACAAGGCAGATTTGTCCTCTGACTCCCAGGAAAGAAAACATACATCTCACATACAATGAGGAAGATCGTCTATTCATTTAAAAATGAAAATAATTTAAGAATAGAATTTGGAGAGTTATGTCAATATTCACAATTCCTTCAAACAATTATAGTCCATTACAATTATTAATGCCAGAAGCATAATTCAGGGTCCCCACAGACAAAATAAATTCTCTTGGATTTAATTTCAGCAAAGGTAATTTAAAAGAATCATCTTTGGAAACTCTGCCATATCTGCTACAGCGGATCAGCACACAGGAGTTCATAGGTATATCCATGATATTGCTCACCTCTGTAGCAACACCTGAATCATTTCACAAACCCCCATACAACGAGAACAGAAACTTCCATCTGCATTCTGCCGTGAAGCTAATGAAATGCTGATTTGACTAGAAAAGCTGCCATTGTTTACTACTCCATCATTCTGTTATTCAGCTTCATCTTCTACGTAGTTTTAGGGCTTCTATATTTATTAGACGATCAGCATAATAAATAGTTCCTTTAAAAAAAAATGTTCTTCTAATTGCAGGACATTACCTTGTTCATTTTATTTGCAGTTATGGAGAAAGAAAACGTTAAAAGAAAGCTTCTTCTGTGTTCGGTTTTAAGTAAATGCTTGATTAGTTCAGGAATCATTAGGCAGGTAATTAATTGTATACAATCATGTTTTTTGAAAGGCCCCTAAAATGTTAAAACCATCTTTAGTCCTAGAGTTCCTGAGACTAGAAGGCTGGCAGTGAAAATTAATGAATCCACATAAAATGATCTCCAAGGTCATTCAGATATTAACGCTGGCATTTGCTTTAAGTCTCTTTAAAAGTACTAGAATCTCTCTGATGTTTCTGATAGTCCTTTCTGTGTCTTCAGGAAGAATTTCAGATTCTAAAGAAGCAAAATTCTCAATTCTGTTGCAGCAGTTTGAGAGAAAGCATTCTTTTTGGAGTTAATTTCCTGTCATGCATCGCCACGCCGTACCGAAAGTCCTTTTGATTTTATAACATCCCAGAACACTGCCGGCTATTCATTCCCTTTGCCTATAAGCGACAGAGCACCCGTATAAAAATCACTACTTTCTCTAATTCTTCGTTAAAGCAAGATAGCGATCTCTCACCTACACGCATCCTTATCAGCCGCTAGGATGAACTGCTTGACAGGGGAGTCCTAGTTACTGTGGTGCGGCTAGAGCTTCTGGCGCTATTTCTCTCCTTCCCCCCTTGAAATTATTGCTTGCACCTGAGGCCGCTCCTCCTCCTCCTCCTC